TAATATCAAGTTATTTTTAAAATTGGAGTCATCTTCCTTTGTCCATGATTATATTTGAATCAACTACAATCAATGCTTTATACAATGCAATGTTTAATTTTACCTCCACTGATAAAACACAGATCTAGTTGAATTTGGGAAGTGTCACTTTAACCATTATTGAGTTATGCCCCTTTATAAATGGAAAGATTGCAGAATTTTTAGTTTCCATTCTGTAACTTAAGTTTGCCCCAACCAAACATTATGAAACCTATACACAATATTCATTACCACAAAACTGAGATCAAGTACAAATTTTTTGTTTCCGTTTTCTAACTTTAGTTTGCCTCAACCAAATGTTATGAAACTTATACACAATGCATATTACTACATAATACAGATTAAGTACGAAATAAGGTGCCGACACTTTTACCATTCTTGAGTTATGTCCCTTTATAAACATAAAAATTGCTGAATTTTTTAGTTTGTCTCAACCTAATGTTATAAAACTTATACACAACTGTTCTAGAGTTATGCGTGTTTACAAATAGAAAAATTGCTGAATTTTTAGTTTCTGTTCTCAACTTAAGTTTGCCTCAACCAAATGTTATGAAACTTAAACACAATGCTTATTACCACAAAACTCAGATCAAGTTCAAATTTGGGTAACATCACTTTTACCGTTCTTCAGTTATGTCCCTTTGTAACTATATGATATGCAAGCGGGGGCATCATCTGTGTCCACATGTGGACACTATCCACATTTATTTTTTAATCCGCTAGTATGTTTGTGATATTCAGATGAATATAATTTTCTATGTCCAATTTATTAAAAAATAGGAAATTCAGAGGAAAGCAAGAAAATTTGATGTCTGAATTGAATTCTGACCAATGAAAAACTGAGATCAAACGAGCCACACGTTGATTTAATAGAAATAATTAAAGGTCAGGAAAAGGATAAATCGGTTAAGAATTAGAGAAACAAGCATATAATTTTTTGGTCTCACCAATACCAGGTAGTGATATTTCAAAGTCTGTCAAAAATTGATTGAATACATTTGTACTTAAGAGAAAGGACAATGTGTAATATGAGTAATTTTAGCTCCTCCTCCATAATAACTAATTTCATTTGTAATTTACCATAAAGTGTAAGTTAGTTACTTCTAGCTTCTAATTTACCTTGTACATAATTTTGCAATTTTATAAAAGGTTGCATGAAAAACGTCTTATACCAGAAAAAAAAAACGTTTTGCCTGTTCCTGGGAAAATGTTTGAGAAATGAAGGCTACTATTTTTACCATTTGTATTCTGGCAGGCTTATTAATACATCCTTTATAATAAAAACACAATTTAAATAATTTACCTTTAAAATTACAAAAGCTGCACAAAGCAAGGAACAATAATCAGCAATAACAGTACCTATAATAATATTTTGAATAAATTACAGAGAAAAAACTTAATTGTCCATTTCGGAAATGAAATATCTAAATCATTCATCAAATGTCTGTACATGCCAGTGCAGTTCAAATAGATATATGATACCCTCAGATATGACACCATTCAACAGGTTTGTGAAAAAGTGGGTGAGATCATGCTTCTTGTTCAAAATTGTGTGTAGTAAGCTGTTTTAATCATGATTTTGACCTGATTTTGTGCTTTCTCCTTGATTCATTTTTGATTGATTAATCTGATTGCAATCTTGAAAATTCAAAATGAATGACTTTCAACAACTATTTTGGTTAAATACTAGACAGTTGTGTTCTAAGTGACATTTTTCACTTTAAGGTGAAGTGTTTACAGCAGTAAACATGGAAGAATGGCAGATATGATCAATCTGGTCAGTTTCTTGTAAACAAAAAGTCATTATGGGTATGTCTGTTCTCTTTAGAATTTATCTTCTTATCTTTTTATCTTAATCAGAATAAGCAATATCAAAGTTTGTACTCCTTAATGACAAGTAATGAGGCCATACTAATATGATTTTCTTAGATATTTTTTAGCAGAAAATAAAAAAAAAAACATTCAAATTCAAACCTTAATTGTCATGTAAGTCAACTGATATGATTTAAAACAGTGTCCATTCATTAACATGAAAAGTTTTGACGAAATTTTTTCAAATTAGATATGTTGTTTCCTGTGACTAAATGATGGTCAAGTTCAATTTTCACGATTTTAGCTTTTCTCATTGTTGAGATGTAGACCTTTCAGTAGCCAAAAGTGATATTTATTATTTTTGACATTGAACTACTGTGCATATCTTAAAGGCTTTGGCCCTTTAATTATACCATTTGCTAAAATGTTCTACCAAATTGCAGTTTGAATTCATCTCTACAAACTAATCAACTGGTAAAATAGTTTTAAAATAGTTGATCTCATTGCTAGTGAAAGGTTGTTAGTATGCAAAAAGTGCAGTGTGATAAAATCCTATTAGATTTAAATTAACATTTGTCATTCAAACTGCAATTTGGTAAAACATTTTAGCAATTTGTATTGTGAAACAGCAAATCCTTTAGGATATGCACAGTAATAAATATATAGCGACTTGTATATTCAGCAGTTTGGATTGTAAAATCGGACTGGTAGGTAATAAGTATAGTACTCATTCTAATGTATAACAATCGGTACAGAAATGTTGCTGGTATGCTATGAATTTTTTATTTGTAGTAAACATCAGTTATCATGATTAGAGATGGTATTTTTTTAGTTAATTGAAACAGCATTTGAAATAACCTTCATCCCTAAAAATAATTCTTTTTAAACCAAGTAAAAATTAAGACCTATAGTGACTACAACCATCTGTTTCTTTTATCAATAATAACATCTGCCTAGATGAATAAATGAAACATATTATATATGATAAGAATTGCGGAACTATTTCTTGATAAAATAATATGGTTCAATCATAGATGACAAAAAAGGACCCACCAATAAGAATTAGATTTGATATGTAACTTAATATAACAAAACAAAAACAAAAAACCCAAAAACTTATTATTCTGGGTCAAATCTTAAAAAAAAAAGTTAAGAATTGTCTATTGCTATATATAAAATTAACTATTTCATCTATTTCTTGGCTTTTAAAAATGACTGTTTGAAAAAAAAATGACTGTTTGAAAAAGATCAGGAAAAAGATCAGGAATGATAGCCATATAGCATCCTCCAATGTACGTTGTCATAACAGGCTACTATTGTTTTGTATGGCAGAATGCAAAGTCTTTATCTGAGGAATGATGACCACACAGCATCCTCCGATGTAATAATAGGCTATTATTTCATTCTACTATTGTTTGGTATGGCAGAATAAAAAGTCTTTTATCTGAGGAAAGATGATCACATAGCATTCTCCAATGTAATAGCAGGCTCTTATTCCATTCTACTATTGTTTGGTATGCTGGTGAAGCTAAATAATCAAATATATATACATTTCCAGCAAATCTGTAAAAAAATTTAAAATATCTGCAGATGAAATCAAGGGAGGACATTTGCCACATCTCTGGAGTAGCAACCCTTAAATACTTTTCATTTAACATATGATTGCCTGTATGACTCTATATCAATATTTAGGTTTATTATATGAATATCATGTAAAAATATTGTATGTTGTAAAAGATTATATTTGATATATGTAAATGCCTGCCTGGGAATTAATTTGGAAAAATAAAATATCTTTATCGGTATGGCCTAATGAAAAGTCTTTATCTGATATGACTGAAAATAATTACTGCTAATTGATTTACAAGAAACTTACCTACATCAATTAACTACCATGTCTAGAATAAATTTTGACCATTCAGCAATTTTAGAGGCTATTTATCAAGCTTGTATTTCTACTAAAATTGTGCATTTGACTTTTACAACATATGGTTAATAGAGGCAAAAGGAGAGGATTGTGCACTCTTTAATCAAGTTTAACCTCACCATTTTTTGTTCATTTACAATTTTTGTTGGGCTATCTGGACCAATATGTTGTTTTTCCTGTCAGGAAGAATTTTAATTTGGAACACAATACCTTCATCGTCCATCTATTTTATTAAGGGGAAAAACACAATAAACATATATTTTCAAACAAAAAACTACAAGAAAATCATGACACCATAAGTATTGTTCATGTTGTTGTTTTCTTGAAAAGTAGAATGACACATTAAAGACTACAAACTGTTGTAGAATAAATCAATTTGGTAGGTTTGAAAAAATGTATAAACGGGAAGGATAGTAAGGGAGAACACTCTGGTGTCTTTGGTTTCTGTCGACTATACATATTGTTACACCCCCCCACCCCCCCTGTAAAAGGGGGCTATATTGCAATCACCTTGCCTGTCTGTTTCCTTCCATCCAAAAAATAATTTGGTTGCTCTCCTCTCAGTAACTTCTTCTGAACAGAATAACTTTATATATGGACAGTGATGATTAAACGTAATGTGTGAGCACTTTTTCTAACTTCAATAATTTTTCAATATATTGAATGAACTTAAATATTTTCATCACACAGACCTTCAGAATAGTTGGTTGAAAGGGTTTGACATGCAATATTTTGTCATTATTACGATACTGTTAAGTCAGAAGTTATTGCAAGGTTTTTTTTTATTGCAAATAATGTGACTGGTTGAGAATTGCAATAATAAGAACTCGCATTCTGATATCTGATACATATATTTGTATCGGCAGATTGTAATAAAACTCACATTTTTGTCCTTCCTTGAAAAATTGCAATAATAGAAGCACGCAATAATTTCTGATTTTACACTACTTGTTGCCCTTTTTGTTTTCCCATACTACTTGTTTGATAGTTTTTACACTCTTGCTTTCTAATACATGTATCCTACTGAAAGCTGCATATATCACTGTATATGGATCATCCATCATGCAGCAAGATTAATTAAATTACAGGTGTCAGGTGCGCATGGTACCAGTTTATCATTTAATTAATGTTTCATTGTTGCTTGATTCAATTATTACTTATATAGTTTATCAGTTACGTAACTTCATTTTGATTAATTTTAAATGTTGCTTGTATTTTGTAGGTGGCTTAACCCATTGTTCAAGATAGGCTACAAAAGAAGATTAGAAGTTGATGATATGTACAATGTCTGTGAACAGGATTCATCAGACAACTTAGGAGATAGATTAGAAAAGTAAACAAAGTTTGTAGTAATGCAAGAAATCTTTATACTGTTTTTTTATGCCCCCCACCGTAGGCAATGGGGCATTAAGTGTTACCCTTGATCTACCGTCTTTCTGTCCATCCGTCTGTCCGTCCCATTTTCTTTTGTTTGAAACTTGAGCTAGGGCATTTGTGTCCTCAGACATTCTTGTTTCTTTTCTTTTTATTTTGTTGAGAATTTAGTGTTGATGGCAGCTCTCTGATTGTTTTTCGGTTTAATTTATTCCCAGCTTTTACAGACTCAGGACAATTTAAAGCTTGACATATTATATACTAAGACACCTGTCTATTGTTGAAAACTGTGTGTTGCCAATAAGATGGTATTTGGCCTATTGTGTTATTGGGTTGCTGTCTCATTGATTTATACCCACATCTCCTTTTACTCATACAAATGATTAAGAGTAGATGATATGTAGAATGTCTGTGATAGAGAGAGATTCTTCAGATAACTGGGATGATGGATATGAAAAGTTTAACATAGATTTTTTGTATCACGATAGAGATGTTTTTCTGTGCATTTTTCAAAAGTTTTAATCTTAATTATGCAGTTTAGATATATGTCTGTTGATATCTTTTTATTAGACTACTGCATGTCTGAGTCAGTGTAATAGTGCACTTAGGTTTCAGGCAATCAAATGTCATTGGACTCCTGTCTTGTGTATGTAAATGGTGGCTGTATTCCTTTCAAGTTCAATAGATATTGTCAGACTCACAAGCACTTGTCTCTGGAAAAAAAAAATCTGAAATTTTTTTTTTCAGAGACCAGTGCCTGTGGTCAATTGGACCCATTAGCAGAAAGGCAGCTTTATTTAAGAGTTTCAATTATTAGTTTGAAACTGATTTCTGAAGGGATACTGTCCTATGTAAGAAACACTTTTTACAAAAGATCAACTGACCATTAAATTGTCCCTGTTTGAATGAGTATGATACCTTTCCACAATTTTTCAAACCAATTTTGAAAGACAATAGAGGAAAAGAGTGAAAGACCCATTAGTAACTTACACACTTAGTGCCAAAGCTTGGCATATTCCCATCAAACAAGTGGAATGTTGTCAAGTGCTCTCAAAAGGTATCACTTTAAAACCGTACTAAAAAGCTACAAGCTGAGTTTTTTTTAGTCAAACTCTCCCTTTTCAATTTCCGGTTTGTTTGATCAGCAATAATTTAAAAAATCCACAAAACTATAAAATTTTATTAGAATTTTATTTTGTTTCCTGCAAAAGAGAGGTGGAAGATACCCAAAGGGATATATATTCAAACTTATAAGTAGATAACAAACTGATAACACCATGGCAAAAAACAAAAAATGACCAAAGTGACAAACAACAGTATACAAAACATAACATAGAAAACTTAAAACTGAGCAACACGATCCCCACGAAAGACTGGGTCAATCTCAGGTGCTCCGGAACGGTAAGCAGATCCAGTTTAAATTTGGCACCCATCATGATCATGTTTCTCATGAAAGTACAAATTCGGTGATAAGTGTAATTCCGTGATATCACATTCAAGGGAAAGAGAAAGGGATTGTAGTTACGACAATTGAAACATATCCGAAGTCATCTGTAAAACATTATCTGTAATTGCATTATTGGAAAGATTACAGAGATTTTTTAAGTTTCAATATTTTATACTGTTAAAAACATTCAAAAAGAAACAGCAAGAGAAATGAATCATACACAAATTTCTGTAGAATAAGCATACAAAATAGTACTGAGTCAAAACAATTAAGTTATTTTACATACAAAAGTTTGTCTCCAAATTATTCATTGTTTTTTTTATCCCTTTGCAGAGAATGGAATAAAGAATTAAGGAAAAGAGAATCTGGTGGAAAACCAAGTCTGTTAAAATGTCTGATACGAATGTTTGGTGTTGAATATGCTTTGTTAGGAGTGATACTATTTATAGAGGTATGAATTTCAATTGATTTTAGGCATTTGAAAACCAAAATTATCTAGATCTTGAATCTTCAACAAATTGGTTGATACCATGAACATTGAATGTACTGAGTAGAGGCAAGGCACTGGTATGTTAAGGCATTGTAATATGTAATTGCCTTACAATATATATACAGACCAATAGCATCTCTGTCCAAAAAAAAAAGGTACAGGATGGGTGCTGGACAGCAACCACGAAAAGGCAAATCAAGCTAGACTGGGGGGACCTAGATCAAGTTGAAAAGACACTTTATCAGCATAAGAGGAAACACAATTTACAAAAGCATTTCCTTTTTTTTGTCTCAAAAAGTGATGAAAATTTAGGCAGTTGAAGAAATTTGAATAGTCCTGCTCTACTATCAGAAAAATGTACTAACAAAAATATGGAACTTCAAGGTAATTTCAAAAAGGGGGAAGTCCATAAAAACCTGACAAAATCAAACACTTGACTATACCAACCAGCAGAACTAATGGAAAACAACTGTCATATTCTTGACTTGATACAGACATTTTTTTAAGAAAATGGTGGGTTGAACCTTGTTTTATAGCTAGCTAAACCTCTCACTTGTATGACAGCTGTTTATAGTTCTGTTATATTGACAAAACTGAGTGAGTTACCCAAACCAATGTAATTGGTTAACATGACATTCATTGGGACCCAGCAGCCAAAACTGTAAAAACATACACCACAGACATACAAACACAACTGACTTAAAAATTCAAACAGACATGCAAAAATGAAATAAATCTGACAAAGACACCCAAAAAAAAAAAAAAATTGTTGATAGTTCATACAGGAGGGGGTGGACGGGGGTACCCTTCTCCCACCTCCCACCTCCCACTTTTAGAATCTTTTTTTCTCTCCCACCTCCCACCTCCCTCAAAAGCTGTCCACCCCCTCATACAGCATAGAAAACCTTTTTTAAACAAATCGTACTGATGAACACTACTGAAAGCATGGTGATTAAATAAGTGCAGAAGGTTCATGTTAGTTTCAGTTCAAATAGAAAGGATGTGTGTGGTATTATTAAAATATCCCATTTGAAAAAAAAATATTATATGACATACAGTCTGTTTATACATGAAATCCAATTAATGTGATGAATCAACATTTCTAGTTATCAATTAATGAAGTATCACATATCATTTCAGGCATTATTTATCATGATAAATACTGGATTTTATGAATTCTGTAGCATTCCTCTAGTTAATTGATCCAAACTTTAAAAGGTTTCATGGAGATATATAAAAAAAACCTGCAAACTATAGGATTACATAAAATCCCTGTTATCATTCATATGATTCATATTTGAGAGGTTTCCTTGGTATGGGATAATTAGGTTCTTCTTTTCTAAGAAAAAATAAATATTTTAAGATAAATGCAGAAACCATATTTGATAATGATAACCAAATTCTAGGTATGAGGGCTATATTGCAATCAACTTTTCTATCTATCTCTCCAGCCCCGTTCTATATATGAGGGCTATATTGCAATCAACTTGTCTATCTGTTCAGCCCCATTCTAGATATGAGGCCTATATTGCAATCAACTTGTCTATCTGTCCAGCCCATTCTAGATATGAGGGCTATATTGCAATCAACTTATCCATCTGTCCAGCCCAATTCTATATTTGAGGCCTATATTGCAATCAACTTGTCTATCTGTCCAGCCCATTCTAGATATGAGGGCTATATTGCAATCAACTTATCCATCTGTCCAGCCCCATTCTATATTTGAGGCCTATATTGCAATCAACTTGTCTTTCTGTTATCCAACAAATATTTTCATCACACTTTTCTCAGAAACTACCAAACAGATTACTTCATATTTGGTCAGCATCTTGACAGTGATGAGTTGTAAGGTGTTAGAACTTTTTGGATCTGTCAGATACCTACTTCCTGTTTGCAGATACTTTGAATTTTTCAATATGTTGAATGAACTAAATCATTTTGGTCACACATTTCGTTAATACTACTGAACAGATTGACTTCATATTTGGTAACCAGTCCAACAGGGAGGAGTTTTAACCTGTGTGCCCTTTTCTAACCTGTCAGACACCTACTTTCTGTCATCCAATACTTTGAATTAAGAGGGGGGTTTTGCTTAGCACAACAGTGCATGTATTCTCATTCTTGATTAGGAAATTACAAATAACAAAAATCTTGCAAGATTATGTTTTCCCAAACCATAATGTGATATTCAGTGCTATGGAAAGGCTTTTGTATTTGGCTTAATATTTAATGTTAACATAACTACATGTACATACTCGCATAACTTCAGAGTCTTTCTTCAAAATGGAAAGTGTCTGTAGCATCAAAACAGAACATACCCACAAACAGAGCAAATGTAAAAAATACAAGATGGCTTGATATCTCTTCAACAGCCAAGAAAATTAAATGACAGAGAGGAAGACATGTTTGCCCTCTGGTGTGAACCCTGATAACATGGGGAAAATAATTAAAACTCACAATTAGAACTTCTTTGAAGAGAAGGCTGTTCTTAATCCTTTGAATTTTTTTCTAAAGTTACATGTAATTCACTATTTCATATCAAATGTAATGCTTTCATGGAGAAAACTACAATATACTTAATTCAAGAAATTTTTTAATAGAATTTTATGTTATTATTTTATTTTATAGGAAGGAACAAAAATCGCTCAACCATTGTTATTAGGTCAGCTTATTCGCTATTTTACTCCTGGGTCTACAGTAAGCAGTACAGATGCCTATTTATATGCCATGGGTGTGAGTCTATGTGCCATTATTTTAGCTATATTTCATCATCCCTACTTTTTTGGAGTTCAGAGAATTGGTATGCAGCTTCGTGTTGCCTGCTGTTCCTTATTATACAGAAAGGTAAGTAGAATATTTGACTTGGTGATTCAGTTTTCATACCATTGCAATAGACCTTTTTGTACTACTGGACTACTTAAAAAACTGTCTTTATTTTTCAAGCTGTAAACCCTTATAACAACTTTACACAAGTTATCAAGTAAAAATGAAGTGCATTAAGGTAAATAGAAAAGAAAGAAAGAGAGAAAAGAATAGAAGTGTTTGTTGTTGAACTACCTATCTAACTTGAATATCAGTTAAATGCCCTCTGCCCTCTATGTTTCCTTGTGGTTGATTCCAGAAATGTTCTTATTACGTAAATCTCTTATTTTGGCCTGTTATGGATGAAAATATTAATTTCTGACAATATTTCTTTAAAACTCCCCTCTGCGATATGGGAAATAAGTAAGTATTTAATGACTTCCTGTTTTGTTATGCTCCCACCGTAGCTGAGGGGACATTAAGTTTTACCCTTGTCCGTCAGTACGTCCGTCCGTATGTCCCGAAATTGGTTTCCGTTCTCTAACTTTAGTTTGCCCCAACCAAATGTTATGAAAGTTATACACAATGCTTATTACCACAAAACACAGATCAAGATTGAATTTGGGTGGCATCACTTTGACCTTTCTAGAGTTATGCCCCTTTACAAATTACATTTTCGATTCCTTTCTCTAACTTAAGTTTGCCTCAATCAAATGTTATGAATCTTATACACAATGCTTAATACCACATAACACATATTTTGAATTTTGGTGGCGTCACTTTTATCGTTCTAGAGTTATGCCCTTTACAAATGGAAAAATTGCTGAATTTTTCGTTTCCGCTCTCTAACTTAAGTTTGCCTCAACCAAATGTTATGCAACTTATACACAATGCTTATTACCACAAAACTCAGATCAAGTACGAAATTGGGTAGCATCACTTTTACCGTTCTTGAGTTATGTCCCTTTATTATGTTATATGCAAGCAGGGCATCATCTGTGTCCCATGGACACGTTCCACATTTATTTTTTTCTGGTAGTATATTAAAACATTGAGGGATAACTTTTGTTTTAGGGATTGCATTTCAGTGCATGTAGCATGAAAATAAATGGGAGATAACTCTGTACTTAAGGAGTTAATTGTTTTTTTCTTTCAAGCAGTGTTTAATAAATAGATTACGCCTTTTTCTTATCCTGTTGTCAGTAACCCTCACATCATTTAAATTAAAATATTTTGCAGTCTCTTTAGATATCTTCAATGAGAACACACCTGCTAGTGTATGTCATTTTCTATTCCAATGAAGTTGAACATCTGAAGAAAGATTTAGACACTGTGATGAGAACCAGAATGAAAATATCCGACTCCATCAGATACCATTGTGTATCTTAGATTACCTTGTCTTGTACTTTAACTGGTGTTAACTTCTCATATCTTTTATCTTAGGCATTGTAATTGGACAACTAATTACAGGTCAATCTTCTTACAATTTCAAATTAATGCAGAATTTCATGTATGTCTAAGTAATGCACCATTAATACATATGGTAGATAAGTGTTTGAATCAGATGGAAAATTGTAGTAAATTAATCAGAATAATTGGATAGTATGCTCTGATTTTGATTATTAATGGTTTTTAATAAGGGCTGTTTCTGAAAAAATGCCAGGTGTTTGAACCAATACTTCTTTTTGAGTTCCCCTAAGGAATTTTGCTAATTTTTTAAGGTCTTTTCCTGAAAAAATGCCAAATGATTGGACTCGTTATTATTTGGAGTTCCATCACAGGAATTTTACCTGTTTCTAAGTAAACTTAATAATATAAATAATGAAATTGATCCCCACTAAGGTTGATAACAACGAGTGGATATCCCAACCTTCTGGGTATTTTTTTCCTGGAAAAGCCTTTATCCCAATAATGAAATATGTAATACTTATGCATGGCATATATATGTATAATATTAAAGTAGGATTATCCAAACATACAGATGCATATTTGCAAAGTACTATACACCAAAAAAGTGTTTATATGTACAGATTGGATTTTTTACAGGTGTTTTACCACATTTTCAGATAGGTCAATAGGTTTCTGTTTTAAATCAAAGATATTTTTAACTTTTATTTATTATGGATTATTGATTTAAAGATTTTCAATAATTAATAGATTTTCAATCATAATGGTACATAATTCAATATCTGTAGAAGGTCTTCTTTTATTTCAGGGATATAGTATTAAAACAAATGGGAGATAACTCAGATCATAAAAGTAATTCTGTTCTGTTTCAGGCATTACGTCTAAATAATACAGCATTAGGGCAGACAACAACAGGACAAATAGTTAATCTTATGTCCAATGATGTCAACAGGTTTGACACGGTATGTTTAATAATCTCATATAACTTTCTGAAAAGTAATATAAAAACATCAGATCACGCTTAAAAAAAATTATTGAGATAACAGTAAGATTTTTTACTGTGGACAAAAATCATATTTTATCAGAAAAAAAAAGAGGCGGAAGATACTAAAGGGACATTCAAAAGGAGAAATTTTCTCTTTAGTCGAAAACCTGACAACATCATGGCAAAGAAAGGAAAACGGAGAAAAGATGAACAAGTCAACAAAACACTACATAGAAAACTTAAGATTGAGCAACCTGAACCCCACCAAAAACCAAGTGTGAACTCAGGTGCTCTGGAAGGGTAAGCAGTTATTAGCAAATGAATTATTCCTTGTACCAGTTACTTACTCACTGCCCTGGACGCCATTTATATCAATTGATTTATGTTAAATTGACATTGATTATTATAAGCCTGTTTATCTTATATTAAACATTTTGCATTTAAACAGGCAGCTATTTTCCTGCATTATCTGTGGGTAGGACCAGCACAAGCAATCCCTGTTTTAATTATATTGTGGAATGAACTGGGACCATCAGCAATGGCAGGATTTGGTGTGTTGCTCTTACTGGTTCCTGTCCAAAGCTGGATGGGTAAACTTTTTTCCAAATTCAGGTAAAGATTAAACTGTTCCTTGTCCAAAACTGGATGTGAAACCTTCCTTATGAATTCAAATAAAGGTTTAACAGGCTGTTATTTCTCTAAAAGTAAAGTTATTTTACAAGTTACAATGCAAAAAACATCATCTTTCAGTTAAACCGTATTTTATACCAAGGAGATAGAATAATTTATGGTCAAAATGGTCCCTTAGAGCAAATATATTTTTGAAATTTCTCCAATTTGCAGAATTTGAAATGTTTTGTTATAACTTTTTCTTTTCGTGACAGCCTTGAAATCCCAGAAAATTCAGTAAAATGGCAAAAAATTCAAATATATTGACTCTATGACTGAGAAATAATGTTGAGCACAAGCATTGCCAAAATGATATTCACAATGTGTATTTTGTGTTTAACATCTAGATAGCAAAATTTATTGCTGAATTGCCTGTTAAATGAATTTTTAGAAAACAGAAATATACGATTACAACCATTACACAGACCACTAGGTCAGATAACAGTTCATTTTACCCCCTCATATATATGACATCGTCCAAACTTAGTGGACATTACAAAGGTGTTGCATGAAAATTTTTAAACATTACAGACACAAGACAGCTATACATACAGATGAAAGAGTGAAAGTTATGAATGAAATTATATCAGGGATGAGAGTTATTAAAATGTATTGTTGGGAAAAACCATTTGGTCAGCTTGTAGAAAAGATCAGAGGGTAAGTCGTTTTCTTTTTTGGTTATGAATATTTTAATGCTATCAAAACACATTGATATAGGCTTTTTGACAAAACACTGAAAATTGTACAAAAATATAACAAACACATGGGGACATGGTGGAAATAAAAAAGTATCAAATTAGTGAAGTGCAAAAAATAACCTAGAAGAAAAAACTGGCTTTGAGAAAGAAAAAAAATTAAAAGATATATGCTACAGTATTATTCTTTGAGTGAGAAACTTAAGTGCTCTGGAACGATAATCATTTCCTGTTTCCCAAACTGCATTGGCTATGCATAATGAAAGCTAGTGAAATGTCTCAAATGAGGATTAAATAGATACACAATGAGAACATGTCAGATTATTATAAACTTACAAATCCCACACTGCAGGAATATTAATTTAGTTAGATCAAACATATAAACACAAGGATTAGAGAAATCCTAGCAACTGGCGAGACTGTCTCCCTTTCTACAAAAAAAAAAAAACACAAATAATATAAACTGAAATAAGATTTGCATGGTATGATGTATTGTTGCATGTTTCTGTTTTAATACTGCAGTTAAGTTTTTGCTGATACCACTGTCCCACCTACAATAGAAGGGGCATTATGTTTTCTGGTTTGTGCGACTGTCCTCTCATTCATTTGTCTAACCTGTATCATGTTAATGTTGAAGAAGTACTATGAAGTCAACTTACTCAATGGTACACATGTTCATAAGTATGTGAACTTTTTAAGTTATATGCCAAATTTGGGTTTTGATCAAGATTTCTGGGATCAAGGTACATGGAAATGGGAAAGTGTGACTGGGGCATGGTGTCATATGAACCCATATTTCTGTTTCTCTTTACATTTTAGACCTTTTTGTTAACAAAACATTCTTATATAATTCTTCAGCATTAACATGATTAATGCCATATATCGTATGAAAATATAAAATTGTATAAAGAAACAACAAAGTTGAAAAGTTTTTAATTCATGGATGGCATTTGCACATCTTAGACAAAAATGGTATGTGACAAAAATTTAACTGCAAGTATTTCACAGAAAGTTTGGTAGTATTTTGTCATATTTGATTATTAAAACATGTTTATGCTTCAGTTTTGCACTACATTCAACTATCACAGCATGACAAGTTATATGATGTGTAATATATCCTAATAGTGTAACAATGTCTATATGTGCATTCATTTGTCTATAAGTGTTATAGTGGCACAACTATCGGCTTATGAAAAAAATAACAAACCAAAATTAACATGGTCTTATTGAAGATATGTGAAAAAATGTCTTGAAACCCTAAAAAAAACAAACTGAATATCAAACTTAATTTTTTTTGAAGCCAATAACATTGATATGCATGATTTGAAGTTTTGTTACAATTGTATATTTGCTTTTTAGCTCACCTGACCTGAAAGGTCAAGTGAGCTTTTCTCATCACTTTGCGTCCGTCGTCCTGCGTCTGTCGTCTGTAAACTTTTACAAAAATCTTCTCCTCTGAAACTACTGGGCCAAATTTGACCAAACTTGGCCACAATCATCATTGGGGTATCTAGTTTAAAAAATGTGTCCAATGACCCCGCCAACCAACCAAGATGGCCGCCATGGCTAAAAATAGAACATAGGGGTAAAATGTAGATTTTGGCTTATATCTCTGAAACCAAAGCATTTAGAGCAAATCTGACATGGGGTAAAATTGTTTATCAGGTGAAGATCTATCTGCCCTGAAATTTTCAGATGAATCGGACAACCAGTTGTTGGGTTGCTGCCCCTGAATTGGTAATTTTAAGGAAATTTTGCCGTTTTTGGTTATTATCTTGAATATTATTATAGATAGAGATAAACTGTAAACAGCAATAATGTACAGCAAAGTTAGATCTACAAATAAGTCAACTTGACCAAAATGGTCAGTTGACCCCTTAAGGAGTTATTGCCCTTTATATTCAATTTTTAACCATTTTTCGTAAATTTTTGTAATCTTTTACAAAAATCTTCTCCTCTGAAACTACTAAGACAAATTTAACCAAAATTGTCCACAATCATCATTAGGGTATCTAGTTTAAAAAATGTGTCCGATGACCCTGCCCGCAAACCAAGATGGCCGACATGGCAAAAATTTAATACATAGGGTAAAATGCAGTTTTTGGCTCATATCTCTGAAACCAAAGCATTTAGAGCAAATCTGATGGTATAAAATTGTTCATTAGGTCAAGATCTATCTGCCCTGAAATTTTCAGACCAATCAGGCAACATGTTGTTGGGTTGCTGCCCCTGAATTGGTAATTTTAAGAAAATTTTGCAGCTTTTGGTTATTATCTTGAATATTATTATAGATAGAGATAAACTGTAAACAGCAATAATGTACAGCAAAGTTAGATCTACAAATAAGTCAACATGACCAAAATTGTCAATTGACCCCTTAAGGAGTTATTGCCCTTTATAGTCAATTTTTTACAATTTTCATAAATTTTGTAAATTTTTGTAAATTTTTACAAAATATTTTCCACTGTAACTACTGGGCCAAGTTCATTATAGATAGAGATAATAGTAAGGAGCAAGAATGTTCAGTAAAGTAAGATCTACAAACACATCACCATCACCAAAACACAATTTTGTCATGAATCCATCTGTGTCCATTGTTTAATATGCACATAGACCAAGGTGAGCGACACAGGCTCTTTAGAGCCTCTAGTTTTATTAATATACTATAGTTGTACATAAATTAACTGTGAATATGTGCATTGTGAATAATAAGATAAAACAAAATTTCACCTATATGTAATTTGTGCATTATGAAAAATTCTGCATATTCAATTCATCAAATTTGTACCGTTTCATGTTGTTACATTGTATTTTTACGGAAAAGTTAGAAATAGTCCCATACCTATATAGTCATGTGTGAATTTGTATATATTATTATATGGTTAGAATTGTAGAAATTAATACAAGTGTTGAAGCATGTATGATTATTAGCAGTTCTTTCCGAAGCCTTTAGTCTTGTATGGCTTACATATATTGTATTCATGAAATGAACCATTTGTTAACAGTCTAGTCTGACAAGTATAATGAAGAATGGAAGGAATTATATTATGCCTAGGTGGAATTTTTCAGTTTTCTTTTTTTTTTTTTCCTGGTCGTCAAGCACACACACACACAATTGTTGTGTGCATATAAACTTATAGAACTACTTTAATCAGTAAGGAATAAATGTATGTAGAATATTTCTTAACTTACTAGTTATAAGTCACTTAGTAATTCAGCATTTTGATACATTATGATTATTCAGTTTTAATCTATTATTTTACTTCTAAATGGTATTAAGTACACTCAATGGTACTACAATTGAAATAAAATTATGATAAAACAAATAGATATTAATATTCACAGACATTTATGCACAACTATAGTAATTTGCATGTCTATACAAATATATTTGCACTAGAAAACTCATTTTAACCTCTGCATGCTTTTTGCTTGCCTGCTTTCGCATAAAACAAATTAATCAAGAGTACTGTCCTAGAATAAATGTTTTTATGTCATTTTATTTATTCAGTTCTGTTTAAATGCTAGAAAACGATAATTTTTATAACCCACCTCCATGTTATTTATCAGTAAACCAGAATTTATTTAGCCATATATTTTTAGAATGTTTGACTGTCCTAAAATAAAAAGTATATAAGTCATATAATTTATTCAGTCCTGGTAAAATGATGTGTTATATATCAGGAACCAGAAATTTTTAATTGTTTTTGGCTTTGCCTTTTTTTTTTGTCTCATATGTAAAGCTATTAGATTTCTCTGAACTAAGAAGTACAATGACTATGTGGCTTAGTAAGTTGATACATTGCCATTAGTCGAAAAAGGTGTGAAGTAGGACCAAGTTCATGTGAGATCTTTCACAGAATCAAGATTTTATATCACAATTACACTGAATTCCAAAAATATGACTACAAAAATTTATTTGAATTGCAATGGGTTAAAAATGACTTCTAGACAGAATTGCAAACTTAAACTATGAATAGTTGCAGAAGATAACTTTAGAAGTTAGATTGAATTTCAAAAGTGACCTTGAACATTTGAGTGGTTGCAAAAGTGTCCTTGAACATTTAAGTGGTTGCAAAAGTGACCTTGAACATTTAAGTGGTTGCAAAAGTGATATGCAAAATGACGGACCATCCTAGGAAATAGACTATATCAAAAATGCAATGACCTTTCATGTAAAGTTTGTTTGGCAGTCCTCTCAAATGGCCACTTTAGATTTTAAACATAATGTAACATCAATCCTGAATTTCTTTTCTTGCAAAACTGACATTGACCATTTGTATGTATAGCATGTCTAATCATTCGTCTGCAAGAAGCTGCAGTTCTTGTTTTCTCTAAATTTTAAAGTGCTCAAAAGGTTAAGAAATCTTACTTTAGAGATCAGAATTATTATGATTGATATAGTTTCTTACCTGACAACTTTTCAAAATCTCCTTTGGGGATTTTAAGCGCAAGATGACCTAATGCTTCTCTTATATTGCTGGAAGTAAGAATCACCTTGGATAAGAAAATCATTGCAAACTTTGTTACAGAATAGTCATACATTCAAATAGTGAAACTGGATTAATGAAACCTTAGGATTGAGTTCGTTGTTCAGGCTAAAAAGGTATTTTGATATCAATGATTGGAATAGTAAAGAAAATTGATTGTACCGGTATGTCTTTTAACTTAATTGTAATGTACACAGCCTATGGTTTTGACAGGTGTTACTGGAACCCTAGCATTTATGATCAAATTAAAGGACCTTATGGAAATGCCATGAAGCTTCTATAAAGAGGAAATAATGCTGGATTTGATTGTGAGATTTTCCAACAGTTTTTTGAACAATTGTAACTTTGAATTGTTATTCATATTTAATGACCTTTTGACATTGCAAATATTTAGCACAGTTTATCTACTGAAAAAATTGCCTTTCAGCTTGAGTAATTGCAGTAATTTAACTATATGCAATAGTGCTATGTCATGTTTGTTTTTGTTTACCAACTGATACCTCAATAAAAGATTACAATATAGGATATGAAATTATGCAAAAAAACTCTTCCAATCTGTATTGTAAGCACTCTCATGCCTACATTTCTTACAAGTTTACTTATTGAAATTTATATCAGGTTTGTATCAGCTGTCAGACTAGAAAAAAAATCAACACCGGTCAATTATTTTTTGGATAGTTATGTCCCTTTGAATTGTAAATTATATGGAAAATGTTATTGTTAGAGCTCTCTTGTCTACATTTCTTGTTCTGTGGTGAGGGACATTGGGACACTTCTTTTATTATAATTATAAGGATTTATTTTATGGAAATGGTATTCTGAGGACTATTTGCTATTTCCCTTATTTTATAGAAGTTAGATGTTAGGGGTACATGAAGTTGTGATTCTTATGATCTAGTGATACTAAAAGTTGAAAAGTGTTGACATAGTTTTAACAAGGAAATGGAGAGAAATAATACAATTAAACAGAAATCTTTTGTAGGTAGGGTGGGGGTAATTATTTTACCAATGTTAGATCCAAAACTGTAAAATATAGCCTTTCTTTAAATAAGTACTGAAAATTTATTATTGTGATTGTTGAACAATGGACAACAATGCCAGATTAATTATTTCCATTTTAATAAATGCAGCATACAAATAATGCTATCAATATTTGAAATGATGGTGTTGTTTTAGCCAAACCAATCCTGTCATAATTTTTGCAATCGTAAAAACATTATAATATTTAATTTTTACAATATATGGAAAAAAAATTAGGATGTTGATGTCCTTAAATATGATTTATGGAAAGAATAGTGGTCAGAAAATTAAAATATTGCCTCTTGAAATTAAACTGGTTGCTGATGCTATTTATTTTAAGAGGGGAGGGGTACCAGAATTTGATGGCTTGCATGTTTTGGTATAGAATTTATTATTTTTTGTTATTAAACTTTCTATAACATATTTTCACATTATTTTTTAGAACTTATGCTATCACTAATGATTTGACCATATTTTATATATATAGATCTGTTGTCGTGTGTTGTCTATGCAGTTATTATGTTTTGGGCGAAGGAGTAGGGGTCCAAGCCCCAAGGAAATAAATTGTTTGAAAAGTATTTCATATTTGCACATAATGATATATAAATGCATAACATAATATCATTATTTCCCTTGTGGAAACATTGTGTGCAGGCCAGAAACAATAGAATAATTTAAGAGAAGCTTTATTATAACTATTGACATATTCTTGCCAAATATATAGTTAGTTCTTGGGTTCACACATACTTTTCTAATACAATGTATACTTATAAGTTGATTGATTGATTGATTGGTGTTTAATGCCACTTTCAACACTATTGGGGTATTTCGTGGCGGTTGGATTTTATTGGTGGAGGAAGCCGGAGTGCCTGGAGAGAACAACCAAACTTTGGTAGGAATACTTGAGGAAAAAACAACGGAAATGAAGAAATTTTACAAAATACACAAAATTTGTCATGGTTTGTTGCCATGATAACTCCTTAAATGTGAAATTTGTTTTTATTTTGGGAACACCTTGTACCTTAGTGTAGTGCAAATTTAAGAATATGTATGGTAGCTTTTTAATTTGCACTAATATTTGGGCAAAATAAGGCCCTTATTGCCCCTACTCCTTTAAAGATCACCATGATATTCTAAAGTATTAATTCCGATAACAGGATGTGATATTACTGAATAAACTCTGGTCAATCAGGGTAATGGAAGCATTAAATCTTATGTTGCCTGTTTGGAAGATATCCTACTCAACAATTCATTAATTGATTGATTGATTGTTGATGTATAAAGCAACTTTCAGCACTTATGGCTCTATTGTGGCGGTCACTTTTTATTAGTGAAGGAACCATAGAAAACCACAGACCTTGAGCAAGAAAACTGACAATCAAATCAATTAAGATTGGAGTCAAACACACCTGCCACATGCTGGGTTTGATCTGATACAGCAAATGAACTACTTAAACCATTCGGCCAATTGTTATGTTGTAAAATTTGTTCTCCATATGAATATGTATAGAATATTGGCAACTTAACAGATATAAGATCGTCTTAATAGGAAAATAAAACTGATTTAGGATTTGCATCAATGTGACTGCAAAACACATCGGGTCTTACTCCTATAATGCTGTTATAGGTAGTGTAGTTTATTCACACCTTTTGAGTTCTGCATGTATTTTTTCTTCGTTTATCATGCATGTTTATCATGTTTATGTATGTTTTAAAAACCAGTTTAGTATAGTATGTCTACTGTAGCCATTGATATTCTAACAAATATTCACTGGTTTTTTAAAATCAGATGTAATGCACTATCTTAGTAATAATACTGTAGTTCTGTCTCGAAGACAGATAAGCAATCCTAATGTAGCATTATTAGACACTAGTAAGGATATAAAGAGTAGAAACTAACAATATTCACAAAAATACACTAATAGTTGACACTCACAAATCACATCATGTGTATCACTGATTATTCTTGTCACTAAAATTTGGTTCTGGTCATAGAAAAGTTTTGGTTGTGATTTTTACTGGCCTTCTTTGCTGATTTTACTCCAAGTTTAGTGGTGACATAGTTTAAAAACAGTCAAAATTTATGCAAACATACTTTTAAATCTATTTGATCTGGTTTTCTTTCCTTTAATCGCTTAGCTGTTAGTTGGAACATATTTTCACTATTCACACACTCATAATCTTATATTTTATAAAGATAAATCATTTGAATATTTTCAGGCAGGAGGTGAAAAAAGTGAAGTCATGTTCTTACATAAGGGGTTCAATTATTGGATTTTTCTTTAGTTCTGCAAAGCTGATTGTGTTTTTAACCTTTCTTGCATATATTATGAGTGGACATGCATTGTCAACTGAGAAAGTCTTCGTCACAATAGCTTTGTACCAGGCTATCCGCCTTTCCACAACACTTTTCATCCCTTTTGCCATCCAGTTTGCATCAGAGACTATGGTTACAGTTAAAAGATTGCAGGTTTGTCTGATGTTTGGTTTGAATTAATTTCTTGTTATATATACACTAGTTCTTCCTTTTTTATTTGGCTTTTTGGCTACACTTAAAGAATGGTATACTAATTGACAAAAGCAAGAATATGTTTTATAGTAGTTTCCAGAGTTACAACAAACCTTTGTGATATTTTTATACGACCGCAAAAAAATTTTGTGGTCGTATATTGGTATGACGTTGGCGTCGTCGTCGTCGTCGTCGTCGTCGTCGTCCGGCGTCGTCGTCGTCCAGCGTCGTCGTCCGAATACATATTGGTTTTCGCACTCTAACTTTAGTTTAAGTGAATGGATCTTTTTGAAATTTGACCATAAGGTTAAATACCACAAAAGGAAGGTTGGGATTGATTTTGGGGGTTATGGTACCAACAGTTAAGGAATTAGGGGCAAAAAAGGGGCCAAAAATGAGCATTTTCTAGTTTCCAGACAATAACTGTGGAACGGTGTATAGATCTCTCTGAAATTATACTACAAGTTTCCATACCACAAAGGGATGGTTAGGATTTGCTTTGGGGGGTTATGGCTCAAACCGTTTAGGAATTAGGAGCAAAAAAGGGGGAAAAACAAGGTTGTCCTGGTTAATGGACAAATACTTTAGTACAAAACATAATTTAAAGCAGTGTAAGGGAGATAAATCAAATACATCATTGAAATTATCTCCCTTACACTGCTTTTAAATTATGTATAAAGTAATGGTTAATGAACAATAAAGATAATCTAAAACAGTGTAAGGGAGGTAATCCAAATACGTTTTGGTTACTTCCCTTACACTGCTTTTAAATTATGTTTAAAGAAATGCATATTTATAAAGGAAGACCAGTAAAAATATCTGCAAATGTTTTCATCTTTTTTTTTTACAAAAAAATCCATATGAAAGATTTGACACTATATTTTTATTAATTCTATTATAAAATAGATTAAGTTAGCACTATGGTAAATTTAAATGGGTAATTATGGTTGCCAACTCCATTGGAAATTTGAATTGAGATTATGACCATATCTTGAGGGAAAGAATTTTTTTGGGGGAAAAAGGGGGGGGGGGGAATAAAAAGAAATTGTGGGGGGCCAATTTTTTCTCATTTCAGATTTCAGAAATTAAAAAGAATTATTCTTCAAATATTATTTTTTTTTCAAATTTCAAATATTGAAAAATTTCAAGAAGTAATCTTTAATTGCACAGTATGGCGCATTAGATTTGTAAAATCTTTGATCACATTTATTTATTTGTTATGCCGAATCTAACAGTGTATTTAGATTTTTAATTTTGGGTCCAGTTTTCAAATTGGTCTACATTAATGTCCAAAGGGTCCAAAATTAAACTTTGTTTGATTTTAGCAAAAATTGAATATATGAGGTTCTTTGATATGCTGAATCTAAACATGTATTTAGATTTTTGATTTTTGGCCCAGTTTTCAAGTTGGTCCAAATTGGGGTCCAAAATTAAACTTTGTTTGATTTCAACAAAAATTGAATATATGGGGTTCTTTGATATGCTGAATCTAACCATGTATTTAGATTTTTTATTTGTGGACCCCGTTATCTAATTGGTTCATATTGAGGTCAAAAGGGTCCAAAATTAAACTTTGTTTGATTTCATCTAAAATTGAATTATTGGGGTTCTTTGATATTCCAAATCTAACCGTGTATTTAGGTTTTTAATTTTGGGTCCTGTTTTTTAAATTGGTCTACATTGAGGTCCAAAGGGTCCAAAATTAAACTTAGTTTGATTTTAACAAAAATTGAATTCTTGGGGTTCTTTGATTTGCTGAATCTAAACATGTGTTTAGATTTTTGATTATGGGCCCAGTTTTCAAGTTGGTTTAAGATAGGGTCCAGTATTTAAACTTTGTTTGATTTCAACAAAAATTGAATATATGGGGTTCTTTGATATGCTGAATCTAAACATGTATTTAGATTTTTGATTATGGGCCCAGTTTTCAAGTTGGTCCAAATTGGGGTCCAAAATTAAACTTTGTTTGATTTCAACAAAAATTGAATATATGAGGTTCTTTGATATGCTGAATCTAACCATGTATTTAGATTTTTTATTTATAGGCCCCGCTATCAAATTGGTTCATATTGAGGTCAAAAGGGTCCAAAATTAAACTTTGTTTGATTTCATCGAAAATTGAATTATTGGGGTTCTTTGATATGCCAAATCTAACCGTGTTTTAAGATTTTTAATTTGGGTCCCGTTTTTTAAATTGGTCTTCATTGAGGTCCAAAGGGTCCAAAATTAAACTTAGTTTGATTTTAACAAAAATTGAATTCTTGGGGTTCTTTGATATGCTGAATCTAAACATGTGTTTAGATTTTTGATTATGGGCCCAGTTTTCAAGTTGGTGCAAGTTGGGGTCCAAAATTAAACTTTTTTTGATTTCAACAAAAATTGAATATATGGGGTTCTTTGATATGCTGAATCTAACCATGCATTTAGAATTTTTATTTGTGGGCCCCCCTATCAAATTTGTTCATATTGAGGTCAAAAGGGTCCAAAATTAAACTTTGTTTGATTTCATCAAAAATTGAATATATGGGGTTCTTTGATATTCCAAATCTAACCGTGTATTTAGATTTTTAATTTTAAGTCCCGTTTTTTAAATTGGTCTACATTAAGGTCCAAAGGGTCCAAAATTAAACTTAGTTTGATTTTAGCAAAAATTGAATTCTTGGGGTTCTTTGATATGCTGAATCTAACCATGTATTTTGATTTTGGACATTGGACCATAATAGGTAAATTAAAAAAATTCAAGTTCTTAGACCACATTCTTTCTGTGTCAGAAACCTATGCTGTGTCAAATATTTAATAACAATCCAAATTCAGAGCTGTATCAAGCTTGAATGTTGTGTCCATACTTGCCCCAACTGTTCAGGGTTCGACCTCTGCGGTCGTATCAAGCTGCGCCCCAGCGAAGCATTTTATTTGGAATGATAAATTAAGAATTAAACATTTATTAGCATTTTCAATTTTTTATTAGCATTACATGTACCATGAAAGCAGAAATTTTGTATCATGAAATTCATTTTTTCTCAGTTTAGAATTTAATTAAATGATGTCACAGGTTGCAGTTATGAAAATTGTTGCATTGGTCTGTAGCATAAATTTTTTTTTTTTCATGAAGTATGTCAAAATATTCTTATTTCACAAAAATGTATCTTTTCTATCGTCAGGAACATATAATCTGTTGTATTTAAAGTTTCACATGTGATGTCCAATGCATATCCAAAGTGATCACAAATGTGGTATAGGAATGGAATGGGGAAATTGTTTAGAATATGATTCGTGTATATCATGAAGAAAGTTTTCAAAAACATATGTCTGTACTTGAAGAAGAAACCCCTCTCATGATTTATATCGGCAATCTCTCCAAATAATCAATGAAAAAATATACAACTTGCACACCTAAACCAAAAAAACCTCAACAACACAAAAAATTCTCCATTTCAGGAGGCAAACATTAGCCTATGATAGGTATTGATAAACTACGATCCAGTTAGCTATTGAAACAGAAAATGATTTAATCCACTGTTTGTGGTGTGACTATTATGCAAACAATACACAACATAATAGCTTGCTATATGTTATTTTATACAAGAGGTTTGGACAGAAGAGATTTATTTCTTTTAAAAAAGCAAATTAGATAAAAAAAAAAATGAAAAGAGGTTTTTAGATACAGTTTTTGAAATGCATATTGCATTAGCTATGCATTTGTTATGTTTTTTGTGTGCAATGACATTCAGTTTTTCTGCTTAGTTTTGTATCAGGTTACTGTATTTTCTCCCATTTACATTTTTTTGGATGCTAATACTACTGAAGTATTGTTGATTAGTTAACTTTTAGACTCTGTCTGTTTGTCATGTTTACTCTAACTTTTGTAACACCATAAAGTGGAGAGGATTGCATGGCATAAATATAATTCAGAATACAAAGATTGTGTAATGTTTACGAAAGGATGGGAGGGGTAGTAAGCTGATCAGTTCAGTGGGATTGGCCAACTTGATTCCTGTCTCGTGATTTGGAATACAGGTAATGATTGAGTTAATCACTTGTAGGAAAAGTGGGAATTTTTCCAGGAAATTGAGTTAATGTAAACAGATTTTATGATGTTTTTTTAATCTACTCTTTTATTGGCCTGGTTGGATGGTGTGGGTTGGGCATGTGGGTAAAAATGTGTAATTAATTTTTGTAATCAACTCCTCTAACAGTTCTTCATCACGATTCTAAGAACTTCATAGAAAATTTGCATATATTTTGAAGTTATGCATCTGCCATTATGGATTTGTTGGTGAAATTTTTGTCTCATTTTTTCAGACTTAGGAACTTAGTCATGTCTTTGGCAAAATTTTCAAATAAACCACTCAGATTGTTCATCTTCAATTATGGAGTTGTTAAAAGATTTTCTTCCATATTTATATTATGTAGATCTATATATTGAAATGTTCTATATAGACCATTCTCCATTGTTTTATAAACATTCTGCCCAACTTGGCCATTTGAATCTTTGATCCATTACACATGTCTTTGATAGCTCTTATATCTTGTATTTTGACATACTTCTTTTGGAAAGTAAATTTTCACAGTTACTGAAGAATATAGGGTTTATGGTAATTAGGTCTTTCCACTTTTCCGTGGAAAGACCTATTGCTTTTGTTCTGATTATAAGGTCTTTCCACCTTTCCGTGGAAAGACCTTTTGATTTTGTTCTGATTATTATTTTTGTTTTCTTCCGCCTAATTTTTTTTCTTGCGCAGTATTATTGTTTCACAAGATGTCGCTTTGATATTTGGTATATGATATCGGAACATTTTTTTGAAACTGACCCTGTTTAACCGAACACTTTTTCTTGTAAGAGTTATCTCCCCAAACACTGTTTTACTGTGGCCACTACTCCTTCGCAATCGTAAAAGAAACCTACAAATTTATTTTACCAAATTGCTTGCTATATCTTCAGGATGTTGAGTTTGGTTTTG